AAAAAAAAAAAAAAAAAAAAAACTCAAACATACTAATTTGAAAATTTGAAATGTTATGAAGATATGCTCAGAGATAATCTCAATTTTTAAAAAATAAAAACAACAATCAGATTAAACTTATTTTAATTAGAAAAAAATTATAATATAACTAAATAACCTTAATTGTTTGTAGTTTATAATGGTTAACCAAAAGAATGTTATAAAATTATAAATAGTGTGACTCCTCAAAAAATCTCTTGAAGAATCCAAACAAAAAATAAATAAATAAATAAATAAAAATAAAGTTTTTTATTGAATTAGTGAAGCCTGAAAAGATTATTCAAAGCGCACGCTTGTCTGAACCATATTTATAAAGCTGTAGCAGGCACACAACCAGATGTTATTGGAGGTTTTATTAAATGGACAATCTTTTAATTTATTTATTTTTTTATCTTCTTCAATCGAGAATTGAATTTGCAAAAATTATGTGACTTATAATTTGCCAAAATTAATATTATGTGATACAAATTTCACTTGTCATTGAAATCCATTTCTTGATTTACAAAAAAAAAAATAAGAACGTTGACTTTTAATCTGCCAAAGTTAAAAAATTTGTGCGTAATTTTTAATTAATTACAATGTCCATTTTTTTTTTTTGGTTCAAATCTTCGAGTAACCATTCATTTCCATATTTTTATAAATTAATTTGTCATTTTGAGAATGGAGACATCCGTGAAGACATCCGCAGGTTGATCCGTAGAGTAGACAGAAACAAGTTTCACAGTCCCATGTGCAACATGTTGTCGAATGAAGTGACAGTCGATCTCAATATGCTTAATACGCTCATGAAAGGCATCATTATGAGACATCTTTATAGTACTCTGATTATCACAATGTAGAGCAGGATTGAGGTGCACCGAGATCAGTAAGTAGCCAACGTAACCATAATAGCTCGGAGGTGGAATCATCAAGAGCACAGTACTCACACTCAGCACTCGATCTAGAAACTACGGTTTGCTTCTTACTATGCCGGCGCCTTCTAAATTGCGTGATCCGCCTCGACATCAATAGTGATTAATGATCCATTTTTTGTGAATTTGACTCTGATGCAGCGTGGATACGTGTGAATCACCTAGAAAGAAGCAGTACCAGTAATGGAACAGCGATCAGTAGGATCTCCAGCCCAATCTGCATCAGAATAGCCGCTAAGTGTCAATGAAGAACGTGTCGAGATGTGTAAACCATGCGATAGAGTGCCCTTCACATAGCGAAGAATGTGAAACACAGCAGAATGATGCGTGGTTCTCGGAGCAGTCATAAACTGACTCACCATATGAACAACATGAGTTATATATCAGGCCGAGTGACAGTCAAATATATCAAACTCCCAACAAACTGACGATACAACATAGGATCCTCAAGAAGAGAGTCATCCAATGGAGTAAGACGAACATCATAATCAAGAGGTGTGGAAGTTGTCTGACAATTAGTGAGATCGACCCAAGCAAGAAGATCAGAGGCATACTTGTCTTGAGACAAATAGAAGCCATCAGAGGAATCAGAAATCTCAAGACCCAAAAAATAGCGAAGCTGGCCCAAACTCTTCATCTCGAAACGCTGACGCAGATAGTTCTGTGAATCAGAAATACCAGTAACATCATCTCATGTGATGATCATATACTCAACATAGAGCAGCAAACAATGATCCCGGAGGAGGAGCGCCGAAGAAACAAAGCGGAATTGTGATCACTCTAGTGAAACCAAACTGAAACAATGTAAAACTGAAGTGACATACCTGATACGAGGCGCTTGTTTCAAACCATACAAAGCTCGATGTAGACGACAAACCTTCCCACAGAACAAGGACTCGCGGAGGAGTCACGTAAACCTCCTCAGACAAGGCACCGTGCAAGAAGACATTATTGACATCAACTGTAGAAGAGACCATCGACAAACAACAACAACAACAACAAGTAAACACTGAACAATAGTAAGACGAGCAACTGGTGCAAAAGTCTCTTCATAATCGATGTCATACTTCTGTGAGTACCCCTTAGCAACCAGCCGAGTTTTGTAGTGCTCAATAAATCTATATGAATTTGTCTTCATCTTATAAACCCATTTACATTCGATAGGTGTCTTTCCAGCAGGTAGAACGTTGCGATTGACTTAAACTACCGAAGTTAAAAAATTGTGCGTAATTTTTAATTAATTAAAATGTCCATTTTTTTTTTAAATCTTCGAGTAACCATTCATTTCCATAATTTTATTAATTAATTTCTCATTTTGAGAATGGAGACATTTTAATCAATACTCATTCATTCATTCATTTTACAAATTTTCATTAAATTATTATTATTATTATTATTATTATTATTATTATTGTGAATTTTTAAAACTACCTATAAAAGAGGAACATTCAAGAAATAAGAGTATTTTGGTTGTAATTTCAGGGGTATGAAAATGCAAATTTAGATGAAAAAAAATTCATGAAAAGAAAAAAAAAATTCAATAAATTTACATGTACCATGAGTCATGTTCATGTAACATGCATACTCAACTCAAGCATGGTACAAAAACCAGCTCTCATTTAATTTCAACTGTTTCAAATGTTTTTCCTTTTAATTATATAAGTCAAAAATATAACTATGAAGTTGACAAAATGAGAGAGAGAGAGAGAGATTCTCTTTGAAGAGTCATTTTCTTTGCTCTGCAAAAAAAATAAAAATAAAGAAAAGAAAAATAGCACAGTGAAAGAGAAACAGATGAATACAAGTAACAGTCCTATGGTTCAATTCACTGTGCTCTGCTCTGTAAATCTGTTCTTCTTCTGATTCCATGGCTTTGACCCCTTCTTATGTCAGAGTCAAACAGACCATTTAAACTAAACCTATACATAAATAGCAAAATCATAATTCATGACTCAGATAAATATAATGTTATTGAACCCTCGATTCTCAATTAGCTCGAAAATCAGTCAAAGCTCGACTCGGAAAGTCTCATGAACATAACAGCTCGATAATTAGTTCATTCGGTAAAATCATCTCAAAATATGCAAGATGACACAAAAGTACTTAAACAAACACATAACATTCAAAATAGAGTGATTCAAGAGTACCTTAAGCATATATGTCTAATTAGTTTCAGTACAAACCCTAATATGAGTTTCATCATAAAAACATTAGGGTTTTGCCAAAACAAAAGATTCACAAAATAACTTATGCTAAATCGTTCGAATTCGAATTTATAGTAAATAAATTCAGTTACACAAAAGACCAATTCATAAACATGAAAGCCAAGCAGTGGTTTGAGTCATCGTCATTAAGAACTTTCCATGCAATGGCCTGTTCGTAAGATACGGGTCGACCCATGCTCGAAACACACACACCAGCTGGCAAATACGCAAAACCCTGCAAATGAAATGAAATTATAAATGTTTTTTTATTTTTTTTCAAGAACGTGTCGAAAAATTTAGAGATATTACGTGCAGTCTTGGATTTTGTTCATGTAATTATCAGGAATTAGGTTCTGTTTTTTTTTTTTTCTTTGTCCTAATAACTATAAAGCACAATATGGAAAAATTGAATCAGGATTTTTTTACCTGTTGCATGATATTAGAGAACTCCGAGAGGAGAATCTTCCGACCGGATTCATCTAGAATCTTCTCGAGCATTATATCCTGGAGGGCAACTAGAGTTGTTTCCATCATGTCGAGACCCGATTGGTTCGCAAATGTAAAAACTGCTGATGACTGAGCAAGAAAAGAAACAGAAAAAAAAGAAGATAAAACGGTGAAAAATGATCGACTAAAGATAAAAACGTGAAAAAATGATCAACTAACATTCATCTTAACCGAGCAGCACATAATAGCATCTGTGTGATTCCATAGTTTTTTCAGAGCAGAATCTTCTCCCGATTGCGAATCAGCTTGAAATAGCTTTCTCCTAGTATGCAACCTGATTTTTTTTTTTTTAAAAAAAAAGAGAATCAAATAAATTTTCGAACATGATCTCGAATCTTGAGGAATAATAAATCAGAAAAAAAACGAGATTTTTTGCACGTACCTAAAGCTCCTACAAATCCATCGTGCAAGCATTAAAGCCTCGGGTGAATTTTCAGGTGGTTTTGGAACAATATCTGATCCGAGTCGAGAAGGGGCAATTGCCATTGCAACTCTTTGAACCGAGCCAACTATACTTCGTACGTATTGACGAGCCATAGCAGCTACATTTTCTTGATAATGACTCTCGAAAATGAATTGGAAAGCAATTGTTAAAACGGACCTCGAATTTTGATTAACATTCGCATCAACTTCTTCACCTGCCGAACGAACCCCAAGAGTCGAAGCTAAATCCAAAGTCCGAGTCCCGTTTGGCCCATCCTGCCAAAAAAGTAATAAAAAAGGGTTTTTTTTTAGAATAGTTTGAAATTAATGCACCAAAAAAGATAGAAATTTTTGAAGAGATGTAATGTAAATGAAACCCAACTGATTTAGTATCTAATGGGATAACACGAAAACCCGAAGGTAGCATAGTAGTGGAAGAATCATCTCCGAAAGTTTCATCAATCGGTGCAAAAACAAGCTGAGCACAAGCACCACCACTATTTGTCTCATCAACCCCACTGCATAACTGCAAATTTTTTGTCGTAAAAGAAATTGAAATCATAACCAACAAAAAAGATCTTGAGCCAAAACAAATAACCCGAAACAAAACTTAGCTGCAAAAGCTAATTTGCATCTTTAGTCCTGCTTTTAACGCCATGGTACTTTTAGTCCAAAGATTATATCCTTTCACTTTTAGATATGTGATTTAATATTTTGCTGCAATTTCAATCCTCAAAAGGACTGAAATTGCAACATATTCACAGATTTATAGATTTTTTATTAACAATTTAAGTCCTATAACTTGTAATTTTGTGTGAAATTTAAATATTTTGTTGCAATCTCAATCCTCAATGGATTGAATTGCAGCACAATATTAAATCATAGGACAAAAAGGTCGAAAAGTTAGAACCGTGGGACTACATTAAATAATAGGACTAAAATGCATTTTTGCTGAAAACAAACCTGTAATAAGTACATATCTCTAGACAAAGCTATGTCCTCAGGGGAGAATGCATGGCCCTCCAAACGAACCACCTCCAAGAGCTAAAAAAAAAAGGTAACAGTACATTATTTAAATATTTTAAATCGTGATAGATAAAAAATGCCAAAAAAAAGGGAAGTATTGAAGAAACTGATTTACCTCCTCGTGTTCTACAGTCTGTGCAAGCGGTAAAATAACTTGACTGCTCGGAAAACCACTGAGTTTTGTACAAGGAACTGCATAAGGACTAGCCTTTAGAGAAGCAGCCGAGTAAATATCAACTCCATAATCGGCCCATTCTGAACGGTGCTCTCTCAGGAATCGGACAAGCAAAGCAGGAGGCACATTCTGTATTATTATATAAATATGCACAAAAAATAACCATTGGTACAAAGAGAATCGAATTAGTTGTTGAAAATCACTAACTCTCTAAAAATGCAATCTTTAGAACAAACAAAAAAGAAAAAATTGAGATGCATTATTCAAGATTATTATTACTAAAATTCGAAGTTCTTAGTTACTTCAATCTTATTATCATTTACTTCAATCTTTTTTGTTGTCTAATTTATATATATATAAAACACAACTTACCTGAAGAAGCATGGACGCTCGTGCACAAAGAACGCCTCCAAAAGTTGGGAGAAGAGAAAGTGAGTTATACTGAGAACCCAAAAACTTGCTCGGGGATGAATTAATGGCTATAGTGATATCATCCACACCATCACTATCCATTATCGACCAGCCATCGTCAACAGTCCCATTTACAGCATCATTAAAGCCCCTGGAGTTCATTCGCCACAAATCAGAAAAGATTCGGAACAGAAAAAAAATAAAAAATAAAAAATACATGGACAGCTCAATGAGTGAGAGAGCAAAACAAATCATTCTTGAGTGTATATTTGATTTAATGATTTTAATCACAATTGAAGCATTTCTTACCGGCACAATCGTTGACTCAATGCCCTGAGCACGCCAGGCTGGCGGCCACCACTACTACTACATTGGACCTCTCCACTGATTTCTTGAGCAATTTGCCTGATATGACGAAAGGCCTGAATTGAAATTGGAAGTTATATTATTAATTAAAGTTTTGGTTTGCTTATTAAGAGAATCAAGATTAATGCACCCAAAAAAAAATCGAGAGCAGAAAAGAGGTTAGTTACGGCAATAGTCATCTTTTGCGCGAGGATTTTCGACGATTCAAACAGTGGCCTTAACACTTCAGGAACACTCGATGCCTGATATTGAGTCAAGAATTGAGTTAAAAAAAAAAAAAAA